TCGATTAATTCTAACACATATTAGAAATATCTAAATTTTTTTTTCTACAGGAGAAAGGGAAAAAAAATTCTTATAACCAGTCCCCGTTGTTTGCCACCACCCGTTGTTGCATACCACCCAACACTGGTGCAAGGGGGCCAAGCCGACGAAATGAAATACCGGTAGGATCTTGGCAATGATTTACCATACCAATGATGTGCCATGTCAATACACTAGGAAGAAAAGCAACTCATGTTTTATTTAAATTAATTCTTTATGTGTTCTTTATTCCCACTTGAAAAAAATGTTGCCAGCCAAAACCTAATGTCTGTTTAAAAATTAACAATGTAATTTCAAACATCGCTGATGAAACACTAATTTAGAACAAGGCTTTAAAGATTGGTTCAACCACCGCAGGTTATTAAAACACTTCCCCAGTCCTAAATTATGACCAAGCATTGCTAAAGTAATAAAAATGTGTAGTTGTGGTGGGGAGAGGGGCGAGGAAACAGTTTCTCCTGTCTTGAGAACAATACCTTCCTTTTGGAATCGGTGCCGTGACAGGCAGGTGTACCTCGAGAAGCTGTTACTTCTTAATTACACAGGAAGCTCCATTCCCAGGGCCTTCTGCCCTCCCCCCCTTCCTTTCCTACATTAGTAAACAGCTGGGGAATTAATCAAAGCTTCAAAGGTTAGTGATAACAGGTGGTGACACATTGATGCCCTGTAGCCCAGGTGAACAGCAGCTCAGTGGCCAAGACTGACTTCCTGCCAAACCTGCAGCAGAGATGGCTTCAGAATGGGGGGAAATTATTTTCACTTCTCAGGAAAGGAGAACAACAAATTGTCTGGTGTTCAGACTCACACTAGCCACCAAAGTGGAATGCTGCACCCTTCTCAACTTCATAGGCTTCCCATGGGTAGTCACAGTGAAAGACAAATTATGGAAAGAAATGAAACACCTTCAGAAATTGACGAGGAAACACCTAGTTAGCAGAATCGCTGAATGACAGCATGCAGAAGGCCTTTAGAGAGCCTACAGTTCAATCTCCTTACCTGGTGGGAGAGCAGGCCCAGGGAGAAGTGACTTGTCCCAAGTCGAAGCAAAATAGGAACAGCGCGAGGCTTAGAACTCACTTCTGATTCCAAGAGTGAAGCTCTTCACACCGGTCTGATAAATATGGTATGTGGCACTCAAGGGCCACAGCAACAGCGTACCCAGCGGCAGGGCTGGGTGAAGTCATTCGGGCAGCACTAAGCTTCACAAGGCCACTGGCATAAACCCATCTTGGCTACCGCTGACCGCCAGCTCAGGAGTCATGAGAGCATCCCAGGCAGATGAAGTAGCACACAGGTCTCTGGTCTGCTCTAAAGCTTTGAGGACTGGCCTAAATTCAGACATTTGAAAACAACCAGCAACATCAAGGCACGGATGGAGCTCGAACTGCTCTCTCCAGGCTATTAAGAAAAGTCTCCTCAGGTGAAGTTGGGAAGGAAGACTTCTCTCTGGCCCCAGCAGAGACTCTTCCTGGAAGCTCGGTAGCTGCCTCTGTACCAGCTTTGTCCTCTGGACCTGCCCTTGGGAGGGGCACCTTTGAATGATCACGCATGGTGAGGGTGGGGTAAGCAAAGCAAAGAGGGAAAATGACAGCTGGGTAGAGCCCCACCGGTCCCTTTGAGGAGAAAGCAGAGGGAGCCTCTAGGGGTCCACACCCCAGTGTGTCCAGGCCTGATTTGGGCACAGAGCTCGCACATTCACCCTGCCTACCCCCAGTGCTAGCTGGCCAGGGATGCCAGACTGTCCCCCGGAGCACAGACTGTGCAGCTTGGGACCGTGACAGGGGCAGGAATTTACAGCTTCATCCACTGGCCCTGTCTTCATGCAAATAACCTCACCTCAGGGACCTCAAGGAGCAGAAGCACAATTATTGATGTCACTTGCAAGGCCACCTCCTGTCTGCCCTGCCTCTTTACCCCTTCACCAGCTCCAAGAACTTTGTTTCCTCTCAGGGCAATTTTGGACCATATCTCGAGGCTGGGAGACCCGCCCCAGCCCGCCCGACCGGGACGGGCCTGGCGCACGGGTGCGGCCGAGTCGTGCCAGGACAGCTCTGCGCTGCCTCCCAGGCAGCCGCGGGCCGCTACAAGCGCAGATCCGGCAGAGAGAGGAAAGAAACTAATCCTCCAGGGGCCGCGGGGAAGCGCCAGCCTTTGGGCGCGAAGCAATCAGAACTGGGGTCTATATGGCGGGGAATGAATGAATGAATGAATGAATGAATACATGAATGAACGAACAGCGATGGTGGCGGGGAGTTGGGGGGACCACGGGAGGTGTCCCGAGGAGGCTGCCCTCCACTGAGCCAATGCCGGCGGGACCGTCTCTCATGCCCCAGACTCGGAGCGTGGACTCAGCCCGGACACCCGGTGACCGCGCGAACAGCCCAGCCCCGCAGGCGCCCGGGCGGCGCAGCGCGGCTCGGCCCCCAGCCCGAGTTCCGGCGGCCGGGAAGTGCCTGCTCCGCGGGCAGAGCGCCGCGCCGTTGCGGCCCCGGAGCCGCCTGCCCCTCGCGGCAGTGGCCCCTAGCCCGGTCCCGGGCCCCGGCCCCTTACCTGCCCGCCTCGGCGGCCTCGCCGCGGCTCAGAGCGGTCATCGCAGAGCCTGCACCTAGCGCCGCGGACCGGGCGGCCGGACTGCGCGCAGCCTGACCCCGCCCCCGCCCGTCCGGGAGCGCCCGCCCATTGGCTGCCCACGGGACGGGCCCCGCCCCCTTCCGCTCCCGGCCGGAGCGCCCAGGTGGGGCACGCGCTAGGCGCAGCGCCGAGCTCGGTCCCCGGGCTCGAAGGTCTCGGAAGCCCGGGTCTGGGCTGGCGCCTCCTGTCCCTCAAATCGAGGTTCTTCTGTCCTCCTAGTCTTGGAGCTTGGTGCCCTCTGTAGGAGCCGGCTCCCACCCACTCCCAACCTTGAGCTCCAGGCTGTTAGAATTTCATCAGAGAAGGGAGGGTGAAAGTAGTGGATTTTGAACTTGCTAGTCAGGACAGCCAGGTCACCACCAGGGGCCCGGGAGCCAGGATGCTCTCACGCACTTTTACCGGAGCTGTTCACTTTACTGTCTCCCCAAGGAAATATGCTTTTGGAGGAGTCTGCAGAAGGACTGAAGGCGGCTAGAGATTAAGGCGAGGCCGCACAGGCAGAAGAGCTCAGGGTGTGACAACGAACTAGGCTGAACTGGGCAGCGAGTATGAGCCCAAAGGTCCTATTCTCCAATTTGCCTGGCGTGCAAGCTCTCTTCTATCCCCCTCAAGTCATTTGGTCGTCGGCAGTTGTTGGTTAAGAGGCAGGGAGGGCATAGGCCAGATTTGGTCCCATTCCCAGCTCTCTCCCACATTGCTTCGGCCCTGTTGTCATGGAGGGAGGTCACTGGCAAACAGGGGTTTGGGGGGGACCCAATGGGAGCCTGGGTCCACAACCGTTTTGGCACCTGGGAGCACAGCCCAGCCTTAAGTGCCCAGAGCAGGGACTCTTCCTACAGCTCCCTTAAGGGATCCCTATTGCAGGGAGACCAAAAGGGACGGCCAGGGCCATTTTACTCCTTGGATTCACCCACCCAAACAGAGGGAGGAGAGGCCTTTGTCCCTGCCCTCTCCTGTCTCTGGTCCAGATAAGCCATTAAAATCTCCCCAGCTGCAGCAGCTTTTAGACACAGCTGCCCCACCTCCCCAGAGTGCTAAAGCAGTAACCTATACCCTAGACAGCCAGCTACTGCTCTCCCAGCACCTCTGCACTGGGGAGGTGGACAGGATGTCGGGCAAGCTGACAACACCATAGCACCCACCTCCAGGAATGAGGCAGTTTCATGCTGTTCTGAGGGCAGGGGTTCAACAACCTCCCCCGTCCCCAGCAGAAAAGAGAGGAAACAGGTGCATCAGCTGTTGTTTATTGACATACAGGTAGGCTCTATAGCAACAGGCCCAGAGGCAGCTGCAGTAGTAGGGAAAATGGAAGGTGAGGGTGGAGTGTTTGTCTGCGGCAACAGGTGAGTGGAGTGCAGGACAGAAGAGCACAGTGCACAAGGGAGGCCGTGGGGTTGGGGAAGCAAGTAAGGGCCAAGGCCAGAGTCTGTTTAAACTGGAACCACTGCCCCATGCCCTAAGGCCCCTACTCTTGCTGGCTGTCTCCTGACCCCGAGCCAGGGTTGGGAGTTCTCTGGGTATCCATTTTCTACAGGAACCAAACCAGGTACACAAAGGAGAGGGAGCTGTTGCCCTCTTGCCATAGGCTCTGGGGGCCTCCAGTCTTGCATTCCTTTGTCCCTTGCTTGGGTGGGGCCACATGATGGGCAAGCCAGGCTCTGAGCTACCGCACCTGAGCAGGGTCTACAAACAGCCATGTTTCACAGCGGAAGTAATCTTCTCCCTGGTGTCCCAGCCCACCAGGGCCACACTACAGCCCAGAGTGAGCTCTACAAGCATTGCTGGCCTAATGGACGGGTCGGGGGAAGGGGATGGGACGGGCTGGAGGAGGGGATCTGGGGTCCATCACGGCACAGGCACTACACGCATGGTGTTGGTAAAGCCAGAGCCAGGGCGCCACCCAGTCAGCACAATGACCACATCTCCCTTCTTGAAGAAGCCTCGGGCCTTGCCTGGAGGAAAAGAAGAGAGGTTGGTGAGTAGAAGCCAAGCCAGGCAGGTCCACAGCAGGGGGGCTGCCCTACACCAGGGTGGCAGCGAGGAAGGCTGGCTGACCATTCCTTCCTCCACCACCAGGTGGCGCCAGCCTCACAGCCCAGGCAAAGGGGACGAGGGAGGCCCTGGGATTTCCCTATCACTCAACTGGCAGAGTTGAAGGGGACCTTTGGATATCATTCACTTTATTCCCTTGCCCAAGGTCAGAGCTAGCTGCTTCCTCTCATCCTGTGACATCCTACTTTACACAGGGACAAAGGCCACATCAGTACTTAATCTGTGTGTGCCACCCCGCACAGTGCAGAAGTTCTAGCCAATTTTATTTTTTAAAAGATCGAACAAAAACCTCAGTAATGAGCAGATGCCAAAAAATGGACAATTTTGCTTTGGGTCCCAGACTAGAAGAGTGAGGAGAGGGACTGAGTTGCTCAGCCCTACTCAAAGGCCCCTCTTTCCTCTGGGGTTCGGCAGGGACCACAGGGAACAGGAGGGGATTCAGAATATTCCCAGGGAGGGTGAGGAGTAGTCAGCTGGGCCTCTTGCCCCCTAAGGTTTAAATGTTTCCCTTTCTGTTGCCCAAACTTTCAGGGCCCAGGAGAGGCCAGTGCTCAAGCACCCCCAGACCTCCAGGCTCCAGCCCTTGCTCCTGACCACGCACCAACATTCATGGCCAAGTTCACCCGGAGGTCCACATCCTCAGCCCAGGCCTCCTGGACTGCGTCCTTGCACAGCACAGGGAAGATGCCGCGGTACAGGTGAGCCTGGCGGGCTGTCTGGGGATTCCGCGTCACAGCAATGATGGGGGCACGTGGGCGGTATCTGGCCACCTGGTGAGCAGACCTGAGAGGGGATGGGGACAGGCAGAAGAGACCATGACACAGGGCCCCAGGGGCCTCCCAGGAAACACCTCAGGGCCTTCAGCAACTGCTCACCCTCTAATCCCACTCACTATGCCAGTCTGAAGGCTCTGGCCACTTTAAACATCTGGGACCCTTCCGAGAGCAGGGAGCCGCCTCCCGAGGCTGGGGCAGCCCCTCATCCTGTATCCTCTACAGCATGCTATGCTACCATTTGCCCTCTACCCCTTCCCACAGGCCAGCGCCTCAGGATCAGCCTGACCCAGCATGGTCAGTCTCACCCACTTACCCGACATGGCCCATGGGCTGGCAGAACCCTGCTCACACCCTGAACTCTGGCACAGAGAGGCAGCTCAACCTCACCAGCACCCACTCCTCTGCTGCCAGTGACAGCTACAAGCCAAGTAGCATGTGAATAGCACCTGACTCTTGACATCTGCAGGGGACAGCAGCAGAGCTGACCGGCCTCCTGGGAGTCAACAACAGAATTCTCTACCATGGTGCCCTTTCCCCACCCCACGTGGGGTCCCCAGGTCCCTGAAACAGCCCCAGTAACTGAGCTCTAGAGCCCCAGAGTCAAACCTGAGTATCTACATGAGGCCTGGAAATCTAGGTGCTACACAGGAGGCAAAAATGGGAGATGGGAGTGGTGGCGTGAGAGCAGCTCTGGCTGTCAAGGTTCCTCTTCAAGGCAGGGGACCCTTTGAAGCCCCTCTGCCAGGTGTTTCCTTGAACACTGACACTGAACATTTGTAGTTGCAGATGTGTCTCAGGAGTTGGGGAGGGGCTCGCAGAAGGAACTGGCTTCCAGAAGGCGAGCTGTTAGACACTTTAACGGGTGTCAGGAAACTGAAGACACCTCACAGTAGAGAATGCCCTTGCACTTCAGGCCTGGCCTCCACCCAAGGCCTTCAGAGGGAGCAGCTGCTGAAGTCAGGACTAGAGGAGTGAAATCCCAGAAGACTAGAACTAAAAATAGCCAAATAGCTGTGGCTGGACCTTTTTACAAAGGTCAACCCTAATGGTCGGACCTTTTTACAAAGGTCAACCCTGATGGTTAAAGCTGTTTAGCCCTGAGTGGCAGGCTCGAGCACTCTGCGGAGGGCACCCGCACAGACCCGTGTCCTGGTTCTCGGGGCAGTGCCCTTCCTGCTCTTCTCCACCCTCGCCTCTTCCAGGAAACCTTCCCCGCCCCGTGGACAGGAACGAACAACACACTCTCAGACTAGAAGGGGGAGGGATGTTAACTCAATGTCCCTGGCTGCGAAGGATCCCAAGCACAGGCCAGGCCAGTCCTCAGCCCGGCTGCCCGGCCCACAGAACACCAGCAAGGCAGCACCGTGACCTTCCTGGGCTGGAATGTGCCTGTCTTTAGGGCTCGAAGACAGATGGGGACCAGTGCATCAAATGGGGGCACAGTGAAACTGCACTTTTAAAAAGCACGTAGTAACTGGGTTAGGTAGAAATGGTTGTCTTTTGCTATTTAAGAGAACCAGCTTTTAAATATCAACCATTTGTAAGTCAGCCTATCCACTGTTATGCAGCAAGTCTCCAGGGCACACTTGCTTTTGATTCAAGTGCTGCCTGGAGTCCTTGGTCCCAGGAAGGGGCTCTGCTCACTCCCAGATCCTGGCCTGAGGGGACAGGGGAGCTCCTTCCTGTAGGGGCCAGGTGGCAGGCAGAGGGGTCTTACCTTGGCTCAGCAACATCTGAGCACTGTTTAATGCACTGCTTCCCAGGACCCCCAAGGAGAGGTGCCACCTAGCAGGGCATCCCCAGGGAGCCACTGCCGCCTCCTACCTGCCAGACTTGGTGAGGACGATTATGGCCCCACTGCAGCACTTGAAGGAGGCCTCCACGGCGCCCACGGCGGCGGCTTCTGTGGGGTCGCTGGTAATGGGCGCCAGGCGGCGGAGCTCCTCAAATAATTGCAAGTGGTAGATGGCGGCCTCTGCCTCACGCGCAATCTAGGGGAGCAACATCCGTCCAGAGGGACGAGAGGGGGACAGAGCTTTGTCAGAGCTTTGTCACAAGTGGAAAGGGAGGGAAAGAGTCACAAGGACAGCTGGTGAGGAACACGTCCCTGAGGACGGAGGCCGAGAGGAGCC